CAAGCCAGCATGGATTCACGTCTCAGTGCTTCTTTAAATGGTCTCGGAAAGGACAGTACTGGCGAACAGACCCCGCCAGGTGGCAGTGTCTTTGAAGGAGAAACTGGTTCTAGTCTCAAACGCAGCGAAAGTGTACGTAGCCGCCTTACACGAAGGCATCGGGGATCGTCTGGTGCAACAATCGGTGTTCTTGGACCGGCAGGGCTTGGTTTGGGTCTTCCTGGTGCCAATTCAAGTGTTCCGCGATTGACGGGCTTCGCCGTGGCAAGCAAGAAGCGAAACCGTGACTTCCACCAGTTGTTTAGAAGCGTTCCGGAAGATGACTATCTCATTGAAGATTATAGCTGTGCTCTTCAACGAGAAATTATCTTGGCTGGCCGTATATACATTTCCGAAGGTCATATTTGCTTTTCAAGCAATATCCTCGGCTGGGTGACAACGCTGGTAATCAGTTTCGATGAAATTATAGCAATTGAAAAAGAATCTACTGCTATGGTTTTCCCGAACGCAATTGCAATTCAAACCCTGCACGCACGACACACATTCCGGAGTCTGCTTAGCCGAGACGCTACATATGATTTGATGGTTAATATCTGGAAGATCAATCATCCCACTCTGACGAGTTCAGTTAATGGTACTCGAATAGAACAGGGCACAGGTGATAAAACTGTAAAAGCCAATGAAAGTGATGCCGGGAGCGATGTGATTTCAGAAGGAGAGGATGAGATATACGATGAAGATGAGGAAGACGAAGGCACACATTTTATGGACGCTGTTGACGGAAGCGTTGCTAGCAGCGAAAAATCGGAGTCTATAAAACGGATCAGTCGCAAGACATCCACACTCCCACTAGCCGGGCCTTCATCAGTGCCTCTAACTACCTCTAAAGCAGAATCTAAACCAATGGAGAAGGGCGCTTCTGCGTCCGTATCTTCTCTCCCACAGTTTCCTGGTCTAACCACTCATGCCCCTACCGAATTTACTGATCCCTCCGGCCGTTATGATAAATTGATCAAAGATGAAATAATACCAGCTCCCCTGGGTCTTGTCTATACTCTAGTTTTTGGTCCTGCATCCGGTGCCTTCATGACAAAGTTCCTTCTCGATTACCAGAAGGTAACGGATTTACAATTTGAAGACGATAAGAAGGGAATTGGTATGGACAACAAAACCAGATCTTATTCATATACAAAGCCACTAAACGCACCTATTGGACCGAAACAAACGAGATGCACTAGCACGGAATATTTAGACATTTTGGACCTGGAAAAGGCTGTTTTGGTCACTCTAACGACGCAAACTCCCGATGTGCCAAGTGGGAATATTTTCTGTGTGAAAACAAAATACCTGCTTACCTGGGCTGAGAATAATTCTACCAGGTTCTATATGACTTGCGCCATAGAGTGGACCGGCAAGAGTTGGCTTAAAGGTTCGTCTCCCTCTTCCCGGGTTGTACAGCATCCATTCATGATAACTTACAGGCTCATAGGTCCTATCGAAAAGGGCGCAAATGACGGCCAGGTCTCCTTTGGAAACGACCTGGTCAAGGCGCTTAGGGCGGGTGTGGCACCTCGGTCGCGCATTGCAACCCTTCCTAAGGGCGCTGGCAAGGGAGCCAAAGGGAAACGAAAGGGGCAAGGCGCTGCAGAACTCGATGTAGCAACAAGAGAACAAGCAGAAATGGAAGCAAGCAAGCGGCAGACTGAAAGTTGGGGAATTTTTGAACCCTTACGAAGACCGCTTGGCCCATTTGTGGGCGTATTTAAACCATTTTGGAGCGGGAATGTTGCTGCTGGCGTCATCGTCATCTTATTTCTTCTGTTATGGTTCCGTACGCCGCCGCCATCTCGCCATACGCCGTCGGGGGCTCGCTCTCCGTTACTTTCCACCCCGGAGCGAATAGTTGCATATGAGGAACTTTGGCAACGAGGGGAAAACGAACTGTGGAACTGGCTGGAGGAAAGAGTTGGTATGGATGGTTTAGCGTACCCTGCCAGAGAACAAGTGCCATTGGAAAAATCTGATAACTCGGACAATTCGAAAACTGAGAGACAGCGACACAAGCAACAACTTTTGAGCGAAAAAGAGCTTGAGCGCCGTCTGAGGGATGAAAGGATGACGGAGCGGGAGATGGAGGATGCTATCCGAGTGACACAGCAGCGACTCGATATGCTCAATCATATTGTTATGAAGCGGAAGCACGAGCATGAATAGACCAACAAATATCTCCTGAAAGGTTACCTGTAAATCCGGTCAAGTCGAATTTTCGAACACCGTTGATATGAATCTGTATAACAGACCGCGAAAAAGAGAAAAGACAAAACCAAAACACCAGTCGTTGCGATCTCTTTGATTTAAAAAGATCGTATTTGTTTCCTACTTACCCTACCCTCGTTTTCCATGTTGTATTTTCTTGCACCTTCTGGCTTTTCTTGTCATCATTACCATTCCCAGTCATCACGAGCTGTCTCGACTTCCATTTTCTTTTTGAAAGTTCGTCTCATTTGCTTATCATTAGCATGAGATATTGACACGAACAGCCCCTTTTCTCTTTTTTTTTTTTGGATGATGTCTCCATCGTTCCCGCCTTTGCTTAAGAACATTAAAAATCTCCTTTACTGCCCTTCCGATTTTCCATCTATTCCCTTTTTTCTATTGAGTTACTGTTTTCATTCTAGCCGGAAGTGGTAGCAATAGCTGTAAACATTTACACGATATACATTCATTCCCCAGCACGTCTCGCATCTTTCCCGTTTTGATTTCCAGCATTTTCCAAGCTTTGCATGCGCTCTGTCTTCCCATTCCATCTTCCTTTGTTAACAGCGTTTTGTCACTTTTATTTTCGTGGGACTTGTGTTCGTCCTGCCTATGTATATGGTATTCAGTGTGTATTATTGACGAGGTAAAGAAGTGTTAGGGAGAATTTGGAGAGTGAATTTCAGACGCGAGTCATGTTCTCTGTCCTGTTGTCTCTGCAGTGTTTGTGTTGTCATACTCCAAACCAGTAATTTATTATTACTGGGAGAAACATTGCATATGTTGATTTTTCACAATGCCGTCTTTTCTGGCCTATTATGCAGGTCCTATCGCTTTAGATGAGTGTAATGGAAATTAGGGAGGGTATGGAGGACGACTCCGCTAAAATTAATGTACAGTACACACAACACACATAACAGTAGTTATATATGCTGTACACGTGATGATGCCTTCCCAGTAGTTGGTTGGTGCAGCACATCTCTTGCCACACATCTTCTCTAACCATATAAGGAGTCCAGAGGGGTTCAGTTTAGAAAAATGCCTGTGAACAAAAAGGGGCGAGTTCTATAAAGAGGAAGACGTGTTGGAAGCTTAAAAAAAACTAGTTTTTGTTTTCTCCCATAGGGGGAATCGAACCCCCGGCTAGCGTGTGAGAGACGCTGATGTTAGCCACTACACCATATGGGATGTGATTAGATGGGCCTAAATCCAGTCACTGTGGTAATATAACGTCAAAGTTAACTTTTTTAAAAAAGGAAAGGATTTCTCTATTTTTTAGAAGGGTACTTTCAAAGGAAGACATGAAACCCACAAGCCAATACTTGAAATTAATTTAGATTTGGATAAAACCTAGGTAAAGAAACGACGGTATTTACTTCATTTAAAACAAAGGAGCTGATGCAGGCAAAGACATCGAGGATATATGCTCAAAACGCCATTAAAGACACGGGGAAAGGTATATAAAACAGAAGATATTATGATCAAAATCTCCAGAGTAAACATAGAGGAGCCATGGTCCATCATGTAGGTAGCAGGCAAAGGAACCATACAAAATGAAAACAAAAAGAAGAAGAAGAAGAAGAAGAAGAAGAAGGATAGACATCAAACAAATTAAACCCTACCCCCTCGAAGTCTTCTCCCTCTCCAACCCCCTCTCAACATCCGCCATGAGACCCCTCAACTCTCTTCCCCCATCGCTCGTCGGACCCTCCACCTCCAACCCCTTCAAAAGCCACCGCCTCGCCTCCTCCCACCTCCCCATTTCAGTCAAGCACTTAGCCCCCCTCCACCACGCTTTTGTATTATTCGTAGCTGAAATCTCAGCACTCGCTTTCGCATCGACATACGCTTCCGCCCACTGCTGCTGGGCCATATACGCCTGCGCCCGATTCGTGAAAAGTGGCGCCAGCTCTTCGCGCACGAGTCCGACGGGTTCCCACGCAGGACGTCCTAGGGCCATATCGATAGCATACGTGTAGAGCTTTACGGCTTCGCCGTACGAGGATTTGCGGAAGGCTGTATTGGCGGTCTCGCGCAGCTTGGCAACTTGAGCGCTGCGTTTGGGGTTTACGGGTTTAAGGGGTGGAGGAATATTAGGACTGTCGAGGTTGAGGAGGGCACGGTGGAGCTGATTTAAGGATTCGAGCTCGTTGCTGAGGGCCGTGGAGGTGGAGGAGGGGGCGGAGATGGCTTTTGTGATTGAGTCAAGATGGAGGGGGTGTTGGATGAAGGTGTCGGCACCGGGGGATACCATTTTTCTTTCTTTCTTTTTTTTTTTTTTCTTCTTGAAGTCGTCTGAGTTCGGTGATGTGGTGCTCGGGAAATGGAGATGTTCTATGTATGGAATTAGCTTTGGTCGGAAAGTGGGAACGCGCCGTTCGCTAGGCTGAGGATTTTGAGGAATTGGCAAGGTAATAAATATTCTGGGGATGTTACTGGCTGCTGACCTTGATTTAAAATACTTTTTTCGGACGGGATGGTTTTTGCAACGGGCAATTTGTTTGGTGTCTTCTCTCTAACCTTCGCCGAACAACAGCTGGCCATATATTCTTCACGTGATCTAAGCGAGCGCTTACCAAGGTTTACGATGTGCAACTTAATCGTACATGCGCGTTTTGCAAAACTAAGGTTAAAACTCCTGGAGCTAGCCGCTCAATATGTGTGAGCTTGATCGTTTCCAACTCTTCTCCAAAGAATTCGTATTGACCCAGGCTCCATTCCATATAGCCTTGCTTACAATTATCCTACCCTTGTTCAGGATGCTGCGCCTTCGGCCCCCCGAGCTGATCCTCCTTCGGAGTGTCTTGTCGCAAATCTCGCAATCCTAAACCGGAGACCACTTCACTTGGCTTAAGCATTTCATGCCCATGCGTCTCATAGCCGTCAGGATGCGTTTCTGCAAGGTGTTCGTCTCTGAAGTGAAACTCGTTTGCGATGCCCAAGACCTTCTGGTTGTATTCAATCTCGGAACATGCCGCCCGGGGCAAGCTTTGCATTTCCTTTTCGAGGACAAGCCATAGGTTTTGTGCATGAGCCACGAATAGGTGCCAGTGCTGTGAGGTACCTTCCCCTTCTTCGGGGGTGTTATACCACTCTATCGCTTTTGCTACACTTCGCAAATATCGGTATGCAAGGGGCATCAGATGGTCTTCCTGCCTGCAGAATGCGACCAAGTTTGGAGTCGTGATGTTTTCCGAAATCTTTTTGTCGCGGATTAGGGAGGCTTTGCAGAATTCTAGGAAATATATCCTTGTATCGCGCGTTTTCGAGGGGGACGAACGGCTGCTGGTTTTGTACTGTTCTGCTTTGACAATAAGTGAATCGGCATTTGGAAAGATGATATTGTTGGAGGTTTCGGAAGAGATTTACCTCTTTGCTTGATCTGGTTTTCAGTGTATGCTCCTCCGTCAAGACGAACCCACGGCTTACAGAGGGTGGCAGCCGTTTCGACGCACAAGTCACAGTAGCAGGTTTCTCCCGTCTTCATGATGGGTGTTGAACAAGAAAAATGTCTCCTTTTCGGTGTGTATAGAGTTCAGCCAAGGATTCAAGCACAGTGGTATAGCGATGTATGGATCGCGTTATTATATCTGGATGACCATGGCCATCTGCCAGGGGAAGATCTATAAGTTCGATAGCAGGGGAAACTTTCAAAGGAAAAAGAACAAGCAGGACGCTGCAGAAGCTAGAGCTTCTGGCGGCAGGAACGAAGGAAGGGGACAGTTGTGTCTGCTGTAAAATGCGGGCGCTGGATATATAGGAATGCTGGAAAACTGTCCGATGTGAGAGCGGCTTTTTATCCCCTGAAAGAATACAGTAAAAACATGTTTGTTGGCCAAAGAAGACGCAGCAAACAACTCGAAGCTGCTGCTGAAAAACAGGAGGCGGCATCGACCTTTCCCTCCGATGCACGTAGCCCCTTGCACCCCAAATTCCTCATTCGCCTTAATGTTTTGGGATTTGGATGAGGAATTGATCAAGAGCAATGACACCGATTATTCACATGCCGATGAGAGCTTCTATTAGGAGTGCCGTGTCCATTTGTGAGCAGCAGGGGGAGCTGCAGTTCGGAATTTCAACTGCGGCTTCTCTGTCGCCCCGATAAGAGAGCCCATTGCTTTCCTATCTTCATAAAGGCATCAATCTTCCAATAGTCGACACTGGAAATTCAATCGATATTGAGGCCGTGGTTAGAATAACATCAAAGTCTGCATGGGCGAGCGACAAGAGGGGGGGAAAAAATTGTCTAAATAACTTCCAAAGGCGTTTCATTCCATGTGAATAGTATGGCATTTGACAGAGAAATTTTGGTTAGGTTGTACTCGAAAGGCTTACGGCTCCTATGTTGAGCTTTTCTCCCTGCCTGCTCTTTGTTAGACGAGGGCATGAGGGTTTTCAGCAGCCCAGATGAACGTCAATTGTAGCTATCGCTGTCCCTGAAAACCGACATGAACCTCCAGAATCTGCTTAAAGGGAAGAGTCTGGTGGTGTCTGAGAAGGAATACACGTCTCTGTGGCAGTCTACTGATATTCCGCCCTCCACGAATAGACAAAGTGCTCTACCTGACTGGTTGACAAGAATTCAACGCAGAATGAAAAATATGTTGGGAATTTTACGGGAGTTGGGCTCGGCTCATGAGATCAGGCTACCTTCATGAACAGGGATTTGGCACTTGAATGCAACTCTGCTGAAGAAGAGGAAATGCCGACTTTTCTGCGGTCGTTGAATTTTCCCTGAGGCCATTTTGAGATATGTGGTCTATATTAAATATAAAAGATTTTTATGAAGCTCCCTTGTTTAGAGGCAGCAGAGCAAAATTAATTTGATGATGTGAAAGATAGTTACTCATCCAGAACCCATATTTGCAGTGGCTCTGAAGAAAATAAAACCTGGAATATTTGACTTCGGCTTCATTGTCGATGGCGAATACGACGGGGACATTATCTACACCTCGATCCATAACCGTAACGGGATATGCGGTTGGAAACTCCACCAGCAACAGCACCGCTATACGGGCGCCCTTGGTAAATATGATTAGCCTCCCCTTTCCCCCTGGATGTAGTTTTGTATTTGTTTTGCAATCACAGCCAGGCACACTAACATAACGTATCCTACGCCTACAGAGACCGGCACAACCATGGCTCTCCTCCCGGAACCAATCATTAACAATTGCTACTCCAAAATCCCCGGTTCCACAAAGTCTCAGGTAACCCAGATGTTCTGAATGGTTGGATATTCCCGTGCAACGCAACTATCCCTTTGTTTTCTCTCATAGTTGAAAATGATTATATTGCTACTATTCCACCAAAACACACGACCTTGCTACCTTTCTCTGGCGGCGAGGGACACGTTTATATGTTTTGGTAGTATCTAGACGGTAATTTATGACGTGAGTTTTGGGGATGTGTTGTTCAAGAGTCAGTATGTGGTTTTTGATACAGCAGGGCCGAGTGTGGGGTTTGCAGGGCAGCGGGAAGAGGTTGAAGAGAAGGGGGATTGGGCGGATATGGATGCTTGAATGTATAATGTTTGGATGGCCGGCACCTGTTTATTTTTCATCTGGAAACTCTCCTGAAAGTTTTATCTTACTCTTCTTTTTAAGGTTTCTTTTCAAAAGGGTGCGGAGATGGGGAAGTAGAATCGACCTGGTAGGCCAATTGCTTGAGACGCTCAAGAACGATTGGAACAGAAATATAGGAAGTCTTATGTTGAGGAGAGAAAAAGGGAATGGCGGTAAATAGGTGATACTTGAGAGAGATAAGTTATGGGCTGGAAATGACGGTGAGGGGAAAAATAAACGAGTTTATGTGCAGTCGAGTAAATGAGGGCAAGCTGGTAATTGCCTGTTGACCACCAGTCGCAAGATTTTTCCTACTGGTTAAAAATTGAAATGGACCCCTCACGGCAACTAAAAAGAAGCTGGAGCTTGGACAACTCCCTGCTGTGATATAACTACATCCCTAGCGAAGTTAACTAACTGACCAAGTATTAGTTAGCAATATCAACAAGATATAAAAACAAACAAACCGTAACTTAAGGATTAAGAAAAGCCACGTCTCAAGTAATGCACAATGGCAATAGCTTAGAGAATCGCCAATATTGTGGCTGTGCTATCGTGATCACTGATAAGCAAGCAAATGCGAAAGAAGATTGAACAGAAGTTGGCAATCCGCAGCCTCTCGAGGTCGGGATAATTTGTCCTTTTTCCGTTTAGCTTAGATTGGTTGGTTCGGGAATCTCAATCCAGGTCCACATATGTAAGACGTCAATCCCAGTGGGTCACTCCTCCGGGATACGCTGTCTTGGATGCCCGAAATTCGGTTAGGATGGTTGGGGAGGGTTGTTGTGGAACATCTGAGGGGCGGGCAGATCCGGAGAAAGGGATCCAACCTCCATCTCGTAAGAGGTATCATGCCATGCATGTCAAGGCTTGAAAATGCTTTCCAAAATTTCTCCTATAAATGAGGTTTAGTGCGGCATCGTGTCCGGAGGTCAAATCTGCTCCAAAAAGTAAGAATCGTATACCAGGCACGGAGATAGTCAATCCGAGACGGCAAATGGTATGACAACAATAAAGAAAAGTGTGAAATCCACTAAATTGTAAACCCCAAATATAAAGCTAAAGAAGACGGCTAGAACGCCAAACACACTATATACACATCAAAATAAATCTGAGAAGCATAGAACAGCAAGAGTGAAAAAAAAGGTAGACAACGTATCGATAGCCGCGCAATATAGAAGATGTGGTAACCACATACCCATGTGAATGGGGGAATAAACGAACAACTTGTTCCCGAACTTTGTCCCATACGTCAAAAAAGTTACCCTTCCCTTTTTGCAACTTGCCTAGAATATACGGAAGATACGGAAGAAACACTCTTTTATCATCTTGGTCAAGATTTGCCAAACTGGAAAGTACCAAACACTCCTCCGCCCCCGCCAGGAGTTAATGTACCAACGTTAATCTGCTGCGTCTGAGCTGCAGGCGTTTGAGCATTCGTCAGCCCTGCGTGGCCCGTATTTGGTGTACTTGGTGTGCCTGCATTGGAGTAAATTGTAGCTCCGTTGAGGTTTGGCGTTTGGTGGGACTGACTAGCGCCATGGAAAGGCACAGCGGCTATCTGCCCATTCAGTCCCCAGATCTGGCCTGAGTATTTACCCTGATCAATCGAACCATTAAACACCAACTGGCGCATTTTCCAGAAAATTTCGCCGGTAACTAGCGAGTCTGATCCAGCTTGGTGTGCAATGCCAACCCGTTTTACGCCTAGTTCATCGGCGATGTCTTGAAGGCCAGATTTTTGGCCAAGATTTGCAATGATTTGAGCTGCTGCTTGGGTGAGAGGGGAACCGTTGACGGATTGGTTGCGACCGGCGTGCTTCATAAGGTACTTAATATCGTAGAGGGATGGGAAGAAGATATTGAGGAGTTTGTGGAATTCTTGTTCACCGTCGGGTAAGGGTTTGCAGAGCATAATCTTCATTAAATACCCAAAGTCATAACCCGAATGGAAAGAAATCCAGTGTACATCATCCACAAGAACCAATCCGGATGTCATTAGAAGCGCGCCAAAATCGTGTGGATCAATGCCGTTCTTCTCGTGCATGGCAAAGTCGATTCCCGCTTTGGCTAGCATGCTGGTGGACTCTTGCGCATACATGTCACCTTCTAAAGAGAAACGGAAGTTGAATTGCCACGTGCATGGCGCTGGAACGACGTTCGACCCATACTGGACATTGCCATCAATCGGGTTTGCGGGGGGGACTTCACCATCTTCCGAAAATAATGTTATCCCCAACTGTATCATCTTCAAAAGGTCGACATTACAACGCAACGTTTGGTAATGGTAATCTGCTTTTGTTGTGAAGCTACCCATCGGCCGCGCGACGATACCGGGGAATTCGGTATCCTTATGAAAGAATTGTCAAGTTAGGTCGACTGAATTCCGGCGAAAAACGGTGAAGATTATGTCAAACAGCTGCCTGGACAAGAAACACTCACCATGCTGATATAGGGATATCTATCCACCAAGGACCTCAGGACCTGCATCTCTTGTGCCAAATTGTGTTTCCAAACGTCTCGTATCCTTGAATTGACGGCTGCACCCTTTCCATCCACTGAGAGACGATTATCGTGACCGAGGTGCGCCTGTTGCGCCTGCTGCTGCTGCTGCTGTTGTTGTTGCTGCTGCTGTTGTTGGTGCATCTGAGCTCCTCTGACAAACCCCATCTGCGCCGCATGGCTCGCGAGCCCTGTTCCACCTCCATCGGGGATACTAGCCGTAGAAGGGCCAGGAAATCCCGCTACACCCATCCCATTAGCTCCAGGTAAGGCGAAAGGATTAATGTTTGAGTTCGCGTTCGCAGGACCAAAGCCAGGATGGCCTCCTAAAGAAGGAGGAGGCAGGCCAGCATTTGGCGTCTGAGCATGCGTGGCGTGGTGTTGCTGCGAATGTTGCTGTTGCTGTTGCTGTTGCTGTTGCTGCTGCTGCTGCTGTTGTTGGAGATGGGTCTGCGGAAGATGGGGAAACTGGCCAGCGAGTCCTGATGGCGCGTATCTACCGACGGGCGGCGGCATAGTGCGTTAAGTGATTTAGAAGTGTCAAGCGGTGAGGGGGGAGTCGAGGTAGAACAAGCATGAAGGTGCTGCCTGGGCCGACTTTTGGCAAGTCTTTAAGGCCGGAGGCAGGAAGGCTTTTGGCAGCAGCTGTCTCAGCGATACGAGAAAGCGGGAGGGGTTTGAGAGAAGCGAAGCTGTAGACAGCGTAGCTTAAGAGATATATCTATCCAGGCAGTGAAGCAGTAGTAGAGGAGTTGTGCGGGGCCCTGAGTTATCGATAATTATACTTAAAAGGCAAAGTTACGTAGCTGTTCAGCAACATGATATTCACGCTAACCATGTTGGGTTAGCACTCACGGTTTCTCTTCAGTCATCAACTTAAACCTTCGAACATCGTTCAGTCGCACTGCTCATGAGTTCCCACGAAGGAGAGCATTGGACCACTTGAGAAAGAAAACATAGTTGGTTTTTGCCACTTGTTAACAGATACTATCTGTCTGCCTCTTCTTTGATATCCTACTCGTCCCCTCCCTTCACCAATTCCCAACCATGGCTCCTGCAAACCCCACCGGCTTCGACATGAAGACCTTCAAAGAGGCAGCGAACCCCCGGTCTTCCTGGGCCAAAAAGGATCCTTGGGCACGACAGTAAGCTCCTATTTGTTTTCCCACTGTCAATTCTTCAATAATTCGTCGAATTTCCTACTAGATCTATACGGGAACGCGGACACGTCTCTATTGCGGATGATCAGCAGCAACTAACATCCCGTTTTCCCCTTTTGTCTCAGTGAGGCATGGCGATACACAGGCCCCTTTTCGCGATGGAACCGATTCAAGAACGGATTTCCCGGACTAGGGATAGCCTCTGTTGCCTTTGCTATCTATTGCGGTTACGAATATGCATTTATGACCCCAAAGCACCAAGAGGAAGAACACCATTAGAGCTACCTCTTCCCCTTCTTTAACATTCGAATCGATGCGAGTCGTGCGAACGGGGGCATTTAAAGGAAGATGAAACATGTGGGGGCAAGGATTGCCATTACCCGGACATCCAGCAAGGACCATCCACTCCCCACTCCGTACCTCCCCCTGATTTATGGTGGTAGTCTTCAACAGGGCAACTTAAAAAAGGGAAGGGCAGAGAATTGGTTGTTCTGGGGTTCAAGAAACCTGAGATAAATAAAAATCTTTTCTGGCATGTACATACATACATAGATTTATTTGGGGAGAGGCGCCACGGTATTTTCGATGTCGACTTTCTTTTTTCACTGTTCGATATATTTGTTTCTATTTATTCCTACAACGAAAAGAACTTTACCTTCCCCCCCCCCCAAAAAAAAAAAAAAAAAAAAAAAAAAACCGTTTCTGTGACCGGAATACCGAATGGTACGGCCTATTCACCAATCAAGCAGCCGATTAGCATTCCATCTGTTTCATGGGATCTCCAAACATATTGCACGGTATACACACTATGGAAGGTGAAGATGGGGCAAATTGCATGTCTGCTTCGCTAGATTTGAAATACTAACAGAGACCTCTTTAGCTTCGTAACTCCAGTGCTCTCCATGGAGTAAATATAATCTGGAATACGCATGATGGATAACAAAAGAATATGTAATGTCATCGTAAAACTACCGACGGTAGCTGTGCC